CCCACTCATTTTGGGGACACTTGTCACCTACTTTTGTTGTAACTGTCTTTGGCCTTTTAGAATTGCTCTCTAGGGGGACCCCTGGGTGGCGCAGCGGTTTGGCGCCTGCCTTTGGCCCAGGGCGCGATCCTGGAGATCCAGGATCGAATCCCACGTCGGGCTCCTGGTGCATGGAGCCTGCTTCTCCCTCTGCCTATGTCTCTGCCTCTCTCTCTCTCTCTCTCTATCAGAAATAAATAAAAAAATTAAAAAAAAAAAAAAAAAAAGAATTGCTCAACTTTTATATGCAGGTTCAAAAAAATCCAAAAATTATCCTGGCACTGCTGCCACCATCTTTCCAGAAATCCTGTAGGAGACCTTCGCAAAACACTTCTTTTTTGATATGAATTTCAAATATCTTCCTCCCTACTTACATTTGTCTTTTGTCATTTGAGCTTTTGGGTTGGGTGGTTTGGAAGTGAGGTGGTGGAGAAATTGGGGTGATCTATAGCTTTCCATGATGTGCGTTGTGAGAGCAGGAGGCAGCACTTTCCAATCCTCCAGGCAATACATCCGTCCCCTCCCACTTTAACAGCCTTAAGACTTGTAGAATTTGGACTTTCTCAGGTTATTAATGTTTTATCCTGGGCTTCTTTCACAGTGCAATTCAGTTCACCTATTGCTCAGAAAATATTGCTATGAAAACCTATTTAGGCATGTGAAGCAGGTCCTTAAGGGGGGAGGAGAAAGATGGACAAAAGCAGAGTCCTCCAGCCATTCAGTCCCCATGTATGACCCTCAGGCCCTTCGAAGAGTGAAGGGAGACAAACACATAAAGGTAAGCTGCTGTACTTTCCATCGTAGATGAGAAAGGGCCAAGCCAACTGGATTTGTCAGAGGACAATTCTCTAAGGCAGGGAATGGTGGTGAATTTAATTTCTGGTCACATCAGGTTTGCAGAACTGTCTGCAATGAGGCCACGAAATGTTTAATTTGGGGTTGACACATAGCTGGTCTTAAAAGTTCCTTCCGTTCCTGCAGAGTTCCATTAACATTTAAACCCGTTTTTTATGGCTGTGAAACATGGCCCCAAGGCTGAAATCAGAAGCCAGGTTTTTGCAGCTTCTTGCTTTCAAATGGTTGCTGAGAATCCTGAGAAATGTGCACATATACAAATAAGTCCTTCAACTGGCAATGGCAGAAGGAAGACGGTACAGGGAACAAAGTTGAGGCTGCTGCCCACGTGGTTTCTGACCTCATTTATTTTCCTCAAAGTTGGTCGCCCGGGCAGCTAAGGACTGGAGAGTCGGGGCTGCAAGCTGAAACTTGCGTCCTTGCCCAGCACCACCAGCTGTCAGGATTCAGGATCTCAGGTGCTGACTAGGCTCTCCCGTCTGCATCTGAGGACACCAGCATTCCCTCTCCTGCAGGAAGAAAGCCCTGCACAGCTGGCCTAGGAGCTGAGTGGGATGATGGCCTGGCTGCAGGCCTGAGCAGGACAGCACTCTCTCCAGCACAACAGAGCTAGTGCTGTGAATGTTAAGTTGGTAGGCCATTGACTTAAGAGCTATTAGTAACTCTCTTCTGAGCTTCCTTTTTCTCTTTGTAATGTGGGGATATCTGTCCTTCTCAGGACCCTCTGGAGGCAGGAGTAAAGGAGTTTAAGTCTATGGAGCTCTCAGGTCAGAGCCTGGCCTCCCCAGGGGTCAGGCCCATAGCCCAGCATCATGAACATGCTTTGAAGATGTTAGAGCCTGATGAGTGTTTGTTCCTGTTCTTCCCTACACCACTCACTTTTCTCTAGCTGGAGAGGAGCCAATCTGCAGCAGCTCCCCACTCTACCACAAAACGGAGGCCCATCAACCCCTGCCTCCAGGATCCTATGACAGGTATACGGGGAGAGCAGCATGCTTATGAGGGCCTTGCCCCTTTCAGCCCCAAAGGCCCTCTGCTGGGGAGCTCTGGAGTCAGGAAGACAGAACCACCGTTTTCTTGTCCTAAAGCAGCCGAACCCATGACACTGCGATGGTGGGGAGAGCAGGTTAAGTCCTGAAGAACATCATTTTACTTGTTTGACCATCTGCCCCCTTTCCGGATGATCTTGGAAGTGGTACCAATAGCTGTCATTTCTAAGACCTGACTGCTCCACTCTGCTAAATGCTTCTTATGCATGACTGCATTTCATCCGGTGGACACCTCTGCCTCCCTCTACAGCCAAGGGAACTTGGCAGACCTCCAAGTACAATTGAGATTCCAAGTTCTGCCTCCCTCCAGAAACTGCTGCCCAAGACCACCCAAGGACTGTCAGCCTGTCCCTTCCCAGTGCCAGCACTTCCCAGCAGGGTGACTGATGCCAAAGTACCACCTTCTCCTGCCTCCCAAACCCCTAGTTCTACACCAGCTTTTCCAGGATCTGTCCCGAGAGGTGGCAAGCTTGCCACTTGCTCTTCCTTTGACAGATCCTTGCCTTTCACGTTCCAAATCCCTACCTTGCTCCAAATCCACCATTTCCCCTATACTCTGGAGCAGGGCAGCTCTGGGTAAGGACAGCCTGAAGGATGGGAAGCAACCTAGACATTTTATCCACAAACAAAGAAAGAGAGATAGAAACCAAGTCTGAGGATCATTAGATATTAGAGGGGCCTTGGATTCTCAGTTATAAGCAACAAAGAGCTACTCTGAATTAATTAAACTGAAAAGGGATGAATTGAAACAGTGGCAATTGTGGACAGCCGTAGCCCCCACAGTCCAGCTGACATCAAGCACTGCTGCCTGGGTGGCCCAGTAAGCACCACCTCTGCTCCTGACACAGTGGCCTTCAGGGTGGGATAAGGCAGCTGCCACCTGTTTTACTAGTACCTCATTCAGAGGCGGGGGCAGCCATTATCTCACCTATCAAAACTAGTCCGAGCTGCAGAGGAGGCTTTTGTGATGGGAACTGCTTTGAAGACCCAGCAGGGCTTAAACGGCATGGTCTCTAAACACAGGAAGGTCAGATAGATGCTGGGCAGCGCCTCCAACAAAAAAATGTCCACTAGTGCCATCAAGTTAAAGTTGCCGCATTTCTCCTTAGATACAGATGAGGATGCTGAGTCCTAGACAAGTGGTCAAGGCATATCTGTTTCATCTCCTGTGCCAAGACCAATCAACTGCATTCCAACTGAATGGCACGCTGTCAGGGGATCTGGAGGCTTTGGCTGGAGGAGGCGGCAGGAAAGCCATTGTTGTTATGCTGACCTAGTGTGCCTTTTCCCATGTAAGCCATTCAAGTAAACTCAAAGCTGTTCCCTCTGGAAAGCCTGGGTCTATGTGCCTACTCTGGACCACCCGGTTTGTAGATGACTAACTTCCTAACACCACCTCCTGTACTGGGCATTTTCACCCTGCAAGATGAGAACATAAAAGGTTTACTAATAGGTTGTATGTGTACGGATGTTCCCACCCCTACCCATGCCCAAGAACTATCCAGAGGTTCTTCCGTCCCACCAAAGGCCTAAATCAAAATCTCCTGGCCATGGGGTGAGAAAATTTTACACCACCATAATATTTCTTAAGTAGCCAGTCTGGCACAACTACCATTTGGAACTGTTGTTCCAGGACAGAAAGCTTACCTTCTATAGGCAGAGAAGGTTCCAATACCTTTCCACCAGCTAATGTCTACCAGAATCCAAGAATGCAGATTTCCCAGGCTTAGAAATGGCTAGCATCTCTATCTCCATCCATTGAATGACTTGGAAAACAAGAATGCAGTTGTTTAGGACACCTCTTTTTCTTCTCTAGACTATAGCCAGAAGGTTCCTAAGAAGAGTCTGGCCATACTCAGCCCTGTCTTCTGGTACCTAGCAGGCTTTCAATTCATGACAACCTATGATTATCCAAAGGCATCACCACTGCCTCCACCTAATACCGGGTACAACCCAGAATGGCCCGGAGACCTGCGTTCATCTATCTATTTGACAGTTGCCTTAGGAAGGTGTTGCTGCAGAACTGGAGCACTTTCCAAAACCCGGGTCAGATCACAATACTAGGAGATTGGACTACCAGAAATCCTGTCTATACTTCAAAAAGTCCAAGCTGGTTCCAGATTTTCAATGAGTCCCTGTACCTGATGCTACTGAACAGCAAACCTCTCCTGTGGGATGCGCTTGACAGCTGACGGGCATAGATTTGCACCAGGCACTCTCCTATGTGGTTCCGTTAGTTCATTAAGTTCTCACCACCTTATGCTGTAGGTTTTATTATTTTATTTTATTCACTTAACAGACCTAGAAAAGAGGAACGGCTGGAATCTGAACCCAGACCCTCTGGTTTGAGAACACTCGTTTCTAACCACTAAGTATTTTTCAATAAACAAGATCCTTTTGAGGTATCTTGAATTTGGCTTTACTTACACCAATATGGTCAGTTAAGACTAAAACAAACTTAGATAAGCAATGACATATTGTCCCTGGCAGCCCAGAGGACTCAGAGGGTTCTATTTGCACCAAGTCATCTGCTTGGCTCCCTGCCCATGATGCCTAACCTTCCAGACTGAAGCCACTTAATCCCACTTGTCAAGTTAACAGCTCCAACATACGCCACTGGCAGCTGGGCTCTCAGAACAGAAGCCTATGGATTCCTTCCTCTTGGGCAAATGAGCACTGCATTGCACATGGTGCTGCCCTGACTGTATCTGATTCTAGTCAGTGGCTTCCTCACATGTAAATCCTGGCCAGACTGGTCAAGACTGGCTTTCTGGAGGTCCCTTGTCTAGACCATCCTGCCAGCAGAACCTCCTGACTCAGTAAGTACCTAAAATAAAAACCATTATTATAGAAAAAACAATCTTTCAACCTTTTTTTAATGTACTTATCTCATAAAATCTTTGTAGACTGCCTTACACTGGATGTCACCCATGGCAGGACAAACAGGAGCATGAAACATGCTAAGACAGGAAACTCCCTCTGTGATGAGCAGGTACCTAGAACCTTGGTCTAGGCAGACCAAGTAAGGGTTAATAAGACACCATAATAAATGAAATATAAAATCGATGTAATTAATTTAATGACAGGAAAACTGACACATTATGAAACAAGTGGTTTACAAGTAGGGGCTAGAGGATGACTTCACTTCTGATAGAAAATTTAAAAGTATATATACAAAACACCAGATGGTTATGTACGAAAATATTCAGTTTTTACTCCTGCTCTTTGATTAAAAGCAAGACTTCCCTTTGTTTTTGTGTATTTTTTGAGAAAAATTTCTTCTGAAACAAAAAAAGAGAACAAGTTCCTGGATATCTTAGATGAAGAGTTGTTAAATGCCAGGAGTCCAGCAGTCAAATCCTGAACCCCAGGACAGATCCAGCCAGGGGAACAGTGTGTCAAGCCGAGACACAGAGTATTACTTTTTTTTTAATACTGGGATGCTATTCTTGTCAGGCTGTTTCCGTCCTCCATATTCAGTGTTCTCGGTGTACTAACATTTAACAGGAAACTATGAATATTAATTGGCACAACAACAAAATGATGCTAGCAACTTTGGTTTCAAATTGATCAAAATGTAATAACCATTTTATAGTTATAAAATGCACTGGAAATAAGACACATCAAACACTCCGGAAATCAAGAGTTCCTACAAGAAAAACTCCACGTGATGAAACCCCCAACTTTGCTGCTCTTTCTGAACTCTGTTCCTTTTCAATTTTCATCATAAACCTATTTTTGTTTCATAGACATAAAAGGGGCCCTTTTTCTCAAAAAGATGCTTTGCCTGAGTACTCTGCAGAATTGGAAGGGTTCACCAAAATTCAAACCACTTGAAACAAAGTTGATTGAACTGTGTTATCACTCTTTGCCTTTATCAAAAAGGTTTTTGCTAAGTTATTAAATGGAGAAGAGCAGAGTATTACACCTATATTGGTATAAATGAGGCTCGAAAATCTGATTCCCACTGATCCCAATAAATGTTAGAATGCCAAAGGTGCTTTTATTCAAGTAACAATGACAACCCACATTTCTCTTAAAAAAGGGGAGAGGCCCACTGCTTTAAAATCTGGCATATATAAAAACGAATGCCAACTTTAATATAAGGTGCTTCCTAGCCACAGTAGCATTATCGGGGAGGTCAAGAACTATGGTTAAGGTCCAAGAATCAACCAAATCCAAAAAAACCTGAGTCAATCTTCTGTATCACCACCCCTAGCATCTATTTAGTACACCAGGTTACTGCCTTCTAAGGTTGAACTGTGCGATGGATGTTAAGGAGGGCACATGATGCAACAAGCACTGTGTTACACAAGACTGATGAATCACTGAACTCTACCTCCGAATAACAGGCTATATGTTAACTGATTTTGAATAAAAAATAAAAATAAAAAAATAAAACCCCCTAAAAAAACCAAACAAACCAAACAATCATGACTAATTTGGAGGGGAAAGACTTAAAATACTCTCTCATCACAACAAAAGCCAAAAGGCCTCTTGCTTTGCCCTTGAGCAACCTAGAGAAACTGAACTCTGTTTTACACCCCCCAAATAAGAGACGTATTTCCTGGAAGTATCCATCTCCAGTGCTGCAACATTAATTCATACTGCTGTTTCACCAGTCCCAATCCTGAAGCTACAACAATTCCTTAGTTAGAAAAAGGGAAAAAAATCCATTTCGGGACAAAGCTATTCAAGATGCAAGGAAGGTGTGTCTTTAGTGGGAGAACTGCCGGCTGTCAGAGGACTTCCTGCTAATGTGTTTGAAGATTTTGGACTTCTCAACTTTCTTGGCTTTCTGGTATCCAAAGCCGCCACCACCTCCTCTCTTTTTAAGTTTGCCGTCGTTGCTGTTCACGTCTGAAGGGAAGGTTAAGGAAATCAAGCAACATGAAGACCATGAACTCCCATCTTCTAATATCCACACACAGAACAAACCAGCACATTCACTGCTGATCCACTACCACAACCCCTCCCCGCACCACGAAAACGTAACCATAAACCTACGTGACACATCTCCAGGAAGTCTACAGTGGCCATGTGACCATGGACAAAAACGAGCAGGTATGACTTTTAAGCCCAATGCAACAGTCATACTGTTTTCTCTGCACAAAGAAACTGAAGACCCTTATTTATAAGAAGTTGAGACCTAAACCACCAAGTCTATAGAAACACATTTAAAACCACCCTCAGTGTCAAAACAAGTGACTTTCAGCTCTGTTCTGAACGGATTCAGGAATGCTTAGCTACTGGAGGAGTTGCTCTTCCTTCCTCATGATTCAAAAAGTATTCATCACAACAGGCATTTACCCACTGCCTATGATGAGGATGGTGACCCCCTAGTCTCGTCCCTTTGGGAGTCAATGTCATGGTGCTAACTTAAGGCCAAACTTTCACTGTTTGTTTTCTTGGTGGAAAACGTGAAGATAAAGTATAGATTAGCAATTGCAACAGCAGCAACTGGAACTGTTTCCTTTGCCTTTTACCCTGAGTAGCACGTAAGTGTTATTTTCTTTTGCTAGTCTTGCAACTTCCTTGTATGAAATCCTTCAATGGCTCTGAGAGGATAAAAACTAAAGTCCCACCATTTCTTTTCAGCTCCAGGGCGTGCTTCTCTCCACGACTTCATACAGGGAAGCCGCACGACCACTTGAGCCCTGCATGCAACTATACCCCTCTGTGCTTCTCTCTGGAAAGCACAACTCTCTGGCTCTCACCATCTGCCTTTGTTTTCAAAGGCTTTAACCACAGGCTGTCTTGTTTCTGTAATCTCCATTGTGACAGTTCATCCCCACTCGCCATGTGCTAGCACTGACAAGCACATAATGACCAGAATGAATTTCGGGGCTTCCAGACCTCAGCCAGAGTGGACACCAAACTAAACACTAAGCCCAAATGCCCCTCTGTCAACTGTCTCTCAGTTCCTGGGTGAGTTCCTAACAACAAAAAAAGGATACTCAGATCAACAAAAGGAGGCACCTTGAAACCAAACGACAGAGCAACTTGAGGCAAATTTAAGTTATTAACATTGAAGATCTGTTTCAGAGAATGGGAATCATATGCTCGAATGTAGGACTTATATGCCTCCTGCGCTGACTTATGAAGGAAGTAGTTCTTTTCAATCAATTTTTCAAGCTGAAATGAAGACGACACCGGTTTCAATAAAATACAAAGCAAACTTCGTATATATTAGAATAAAACCATCCTGTAAAAAAAATTTGTCCCAATACACTTGATCCAAGTTTTCTAATACTTAAAAATCAGGGCACAGTAAGAATAATGACAAAGTTCTTGTAAGGTATAAACAGAAATAAGATAGGGAACACAGGAACCCGGTAAACAGCATAGCAAGAACCCAGAAGATCACACAGTACAAACCTGGTTTATGAAAGGGGAAAGTCAGAGGACAATGATTACCAACTGAGGCTACTTCTTCCTCACAAACTTTTTTTTTTTTTTAAACAAAAACACACAAACAAAAATACCAAACATACCTGAGACTGAATGTCAGAAATCTTGGACCAGGAAAATTCAAATTCACTTAATGGAACCTAGAAAACAAAAGCATGGAGATTTAGTAAACCAGGAAGGATCAATATCAGACATGTAGATGATCGAGCAATAACAAGCATCCCGTGCCATGAAGAACCAGGACAGCCAGGCATGTACAACTCCCTCAGGACAGACAGCTGCTCCTCTGGTCTCCCGAAGCCAAAGGAAAGCTTTCCTGCTTCTGCTACCTTCACATGCATTGTGCTGAGGAACCTTCCTGAAAGGAAAGGTGAGGAACTGGACAGGGAAAGTGAATAAACAAAGCCCTTTTCTCTACAGAAGGAACTCTATGGATCTAACATGAGGCAGCCCGATGCTTCCAGTCAGAAGGACCACTAGGCCCTCCGTGTTGAGAGCTGTTTTAGAACCACGTTGCCCCGTGACTGGGGTCTGTGATACCAGAGCTCATGAAGACCACATACTCCTACAAGAAGGATCTCTCACCAGTCATCACATATTAGATAACTGTAAAAATGCCACACCTTGGAGAGGTGCTGGAAAAATAGCCACCAAGTTCTGGACGCCACCCTCAGGGCCTGTCTTGTAGAGAAGACAGGTAGGGGGTAAGACGACAGCTGGATGAGCACTTGCGGTGTGGGAACACAAACCACAGGAGATCAGTGATGGCATCCCACAAGACAGCACAGCTCACTCAAACAGAAGCATCCTAAAGATCGAGAAAAAGGCATTCTAGGGAAAGGGTGCAAAGGCCATTTCAGGGAATTGAACATACCTACAAGGTGGAAGAAAATCCACCTGGTAATACAGTGGCAAGGGAGGCCAAAGCAGGGGAGAGTGTCAAGAGAAGGCTTGATGGGTGTGCACATGATTGGAGGCCAGAGCCAGATGAGGGTCGGCTGGGGATCAGGGTGAGTGGAGAGTAAATAGAGGAAAAAAACCCAAAACCTTTCCAAAATAGAAGGAAGAAAGGCAATCATCAGCAGCAATGACAAAGGGAGAAGAAGGAAAGTGGGTTTTAGGGTTGAAGTTTTTTTTTTTTTTACTGGGAGACATGAGATGGTAATGGGAGAGACAGAGGTAAAACAGTCAATGAGAAGGGTATAGAAGGAGGAGGAGGAAGAAGCAGGAGTGAATGGAGTCATCATGAAAACAAGGCTGTAGCAAGGGAGGGCAGGTGGAGGTGACCAGGTGTGAAGATGCTTAGGAGAGGCAGAGGTGTTTTCAAACAGGGCCAGCGAAAGGGGCAGCGCCTAGGGACGCTGGGACACACTGCCTGACAAGAGGTCAAGGGCTGTTCATGTGAGGCCAGACCCGCACTGAATCTCCCTTGCCCAACCTAACTGCTTTGTTCCCATAGCACCGCAGTGACTCCCGATACCTCAGACCCATCCAGAAATGGTGCTTAAAGCCACTGGCCTTGGCACACAATTCCTATCAAGAGGTACTGGTTCCACTTAAAATTTTCCAAACCCAGATCTTTACCTTGGATTGCTTCAAGTAACGAAGGAAACCCAACTCTTCAGGGCGTAAGATGAGCAAGGCGTGACCTCTTCCATTTAGGCCTCTGGCTGTTCTTCCCACACGATGAATATATTCCTTTGATGGAGAGAGAAAACCTGAATTAATACATCAAGTTCCATGGGAACCTGCCTTTCTAGGAGCTGCATGGTGGCAAACAGAAGTGTGTCAGCACATCTGGATTAGATGGTGCTCCTCCCACAGGGCGGTGCCACACACACCATGGCCACGTCCCCGGCTTCTGCATGTGCCATGACCAAAGAGGTAACAGCGCAATGACCGAGGCCCAATACTCACTGGACCTGATCTTCACATTAACTCTGTGATCTAATGACTGCTAAGTGTGTTTCATCTTCAAAATAACGTTTTCAACGTGTTTTCCTGCTAGCTGACAATTTATGTAATCTATTGCTTGTTGAAAATATTTAGTAAAATTTATTTTACTACATAGGCACAGAATCTTACCTATTTCTGGAAGCAGATTTTATTTTCTTCTAACACCTACTGCTCTTAATAGACCATTCCAAGCACATGACATTCCTAACTCCAACCTCACTGAGGCCTCTCAAATCTTACATGTTCCTTTTGGGTCCTGCAAAAGCCCTAAATATCATCAGCACCAGAGAAATACCACGGTCAGTGCAGAGTAAAACATGACCTGAATGACTATGGGATACACCTTTGAGTATGAAATACAGTAGGTCTCAGGGAAACCGGAAAGCTCATTCCTTAATGTAGAGCCACTGTGGATGCCAGTTACCTTGGGGTCATCTGGAGGGTCATACTGAACAATCCAGTCAACTTCAGGAATATCCAGCCCTCTAGCTGCCACATCCGTACACAACAATATCCCCGAATCAGCATTGCAGAACTGGAAGAATGTGGTTGTACGCTTATTTTGCTTCTGCCTTCCCTAGAATCAAATCAAAGCATCTATTAGAGCCGGAAACTTGAGGTCATTTCTAGGAGGTCTAATTGTACAAGAACCCCCAGCTACGGAGTTGTTAACCTGCTTTATTTCAATTTCACTCTCTGGCCTGTATCTTATTTCCTTAAGTCGGTGGTATGTCTTACCCCTTTGTGGTCCCTACCCTTTCATACCCAGCAAAGCTCCCTCCACATGGGATCATTCCACATTTAGAGAGCGATACCACAAACCCCACAATCTATACGACTGGGTAAGTGTTAACTGTGTTTTACTAAACTCATGATGATCACTTACATGAATGGCCAAGACAGGCAAATCGATGTAGTTCAGCAATTCATAGTGGTATTTCACGGACTTACAGGATGAAAAGAAGACCATCAGTTTCTTCTTCCGGTTCTTCTTAAGGAATGTAAAGAGCAGAAGGAACCTCTTTTCTGAGGGACAAACAACATATCCCTAGAAGTGGTTCAAGTAAATAGATAAAAATAATCAGACATTTTCAGGTTCATAAACCAATATAATTTGGAGAGCACAAATAAACATTCCATATACACCATCGTACCTTACCTGTACCAAAATTACTGTCTTTATTAAAACAAAGCATAAACGGACACTAATTTTAGCTCTTCTGGTTCCTTTTATTGGGTGCAAACACTGGATACCAATACTTTCCATATTTCTGAGATTATAGACTTCTGGTTACCAGTTTGTGCAGCCATAATAAAGTAACACCTACTCGTTGGAACCATCAAAGCATAAGCAATGCTTCATTTTTATAAAGGTCCTTAATAGCAAGATCTCAAATAACTACAGCAAAAGTGCACTGTCCTAAACAAGATAACAAAGCTGAGTGAATAGATCTTTTAAAATATACAACCAACAAAAAGTTTTTAAATGAGATCGTTATTTGAAATAGTTTTTCATCAGAAGACTCAAAGTTCTGTTTTTAGCCTACCTAATTTGGATCTCAATGTCACCTCATTTCCATCTTTTCACAGTAGTGTGCCTGAAACCAGCCTCTCCATCTGCTAACTCACCTTGTATCTTAGAGTAGAAGATCACTAAATAACACACTTTTTAAAAAAAATTTTTATTTATTCATGAGAGACACAGAGATGCAGAGACATAGGCAGAGAGAGAAGCAGGCTCCTCACGGGGTGCCTGATGTGGTATTTGATTCCAGTACCCTGGGATCACAACCTGAGCCAAAGGGAGATGCTGAACCACTGAGCCATCCAGGCATCCCAATATGTTTCTTTTCTTAACTGCATTTACAATCTGTAGGGATTAATGTCTTCTTGCGGCAAACAGTATTAAGAGACAGAATAAAGAGAGCTGACGAAACTATTCAAAGTTCAAGATTCATGATGCCAGTGAGACAATAACCCAATTCACTGTATCTGAATTAAAAGTTCATTAATCCATCCGCTTTTTGGATGATCAAAACAACTGCAAATAATACACCAAAAATGATCCTTAAATGTAAGATCTTGACGAAAAGTACCTGCTCAAGACCATCCACTGTTGCATTAGCTTTATCGTCATCAACACCAACATACAATGGCTCCTTTTTCAAAGAAATCCTTGCCAAGTCTTCAACTTTTCGAGTTTGTGTGGCAGAAAAGAGCATGGTTTGCCTGCGTGCTGAAATAGATACATATAAAAATAACCCAACTATTTCAAGGACTCTTTAGCATCACTTCACAACTAGAAATACTGAGTAGAACTATCAGGAATGGGACAAGTGATATCACTACATATTAAGAAGGGAGTATCATGAACTTTTATGACTATAAATGTAACAACTTAGATAAAATGGAAAATTTCCTTGAAAGACAAATGGCTAAAGCTCACTTGAGATTAAATAGAAATCCTGAATAGCTTTGTATCTATTACAGAACTCGTAGTTAAAAATGCTATGTAAAGAAAAATCCAGCTCCAAAGACTTCAATTGGTGAATTCCATCAAACATTTAAGTAGAAAATATTACCAATTCTGCATAATCTCTCCAGGATTTGAAGAGTTACTTCCAAACTCATTCTTTGACGCCAGCCATTACCCTGATACCAAACCCAATAATGATTTGTGATACAATCTTTTAAAGAAAACTTTTAAACAAAAATTTACCAAAGCTGAATATAGCACGTAGAATAATGAATCACGATCAAGTGGGGTTTACTTCAAGTGTTTAATATTTAAAAGTTAACCGATAGAAGTTACTATATTAACAGATTTAAAATTTAAAGGAAAAAACATCTAATTTAGTAGGGTAAAAGCATTTGATAGATTTAACATCTGATTGTGATGTTACTGTCCTGTTTCATGCTGTTACTGCAATTTCATTTTTAATGGTTTGGAAGCCATTTTGTAATGAATAAATGTACACATTGTACGGTATCTGTAGCATGCCATTCAGGATTAATAAAAGCAATGTAATATATGCAGATAAAAACAAAAAAATCTCAGAACATCAGGAACAGAAGGGATCATTCTCATTCTCCATCTGGTAAAGGGTAGCTACAAAAAAAAAAAAATCTATAGCTAACACGATAATACTTAATGGTGAAAGAATGTTTTCTCTACTGATAGGGGTGACCGGTTTCACAGGTGTAAACATGTCAAAACTTAAATCGTATATTTAAAACATGTACAGACATTTGCAATATCAATTATACTTCAATAAAGCATTAAAAACCATATATAAATGGAATCATGACCTTATTGTAGACATAAACAGTTCATAACGCTGCAAGTACAGTAACGAAGGTATGGACAACTCAAATACAATACAGAAGGCAACACCTTTATGGCTACCCAGGAGATGTCAGATTGGGTGAGAAAAGGGAAAAGGGGTAGTGGGGGCAGATGGGAGTCGACCTATGTTAGGACTGTCTGACTTGCATTATAACCTCTAAAGTAGCAAAACCACTGCAAGAAGTTACTGATAAGTCTGATGCTCGTATTGCAAACTCTCTCCAGGGATGACTGGCACAACCACTTCACTTGGCTCTATTAAAATTACAGTATTAACAGTTTTCATAGACGAACAACCCTCATCCATTTCCAACAACTACTCTGCAAACCACATGCAGATATTACCTACTTACTTGGCAGAAGTTTAATAATTTGTTTTAATTCCTCTTCAAACCCAACATCCAAGATACGGTCAGCCTCATCAATAACCAGACACTGTAGATTTTTATACATAAACCCTGGGGTATTCTAACAAGACAAAAGCAAAAACTGATTAGCTGTCAGGTTTAGGTTTCACACAGACAATGAGACAGGGTACCCCATACTAGTGTTGGCTTGCCTGCATGTGGTCCAGGAGACGGCCTGGGGTGGCCACAATGATGTTGATCCCGTTACCAAGTTTCTGTGCTTCAGCAGATCTGTTGCTGCCACCCATTATTAACCCGTATGTGTGAACATGGTGCGTCATTAGCTCTTTAAGAACACCAAAAGTCTGCATGGCCAGTTCCCTAGTAGGTGAGAGAATAAGAACTCCTGTTCCTAAAAGGCAAAAAATGACAGATGGTAAAAGTTCCGCTGTTATCACCAGGAGTCCTCAATAGCTACAATAAACTTCTAGTGAGATACTGGCAAAAAACGATCAGATCAGAGACTCACCATTCCTAGGCATGAACTTTAACTTGACAATGAGTTCGACTGCAGGGATGAGAAATGCCAGCGTTTTGCCACTGCCTGTTTTTGCAGCCGCTAGGAGATCCCTAAATATTAAAAATGGAAAGGAATAGACAGCCTCCTTACTCAACAAGCATTTACTCAGTATCTACTATGTACTATCACATTTTAGACATCAAGACTAGAAAATGAGTAAGAAAAAGTCCCTAGCTTCTTTATCACTGAAATCAATCACAGAGGTTAAATACCTAACTTAGAAATAAGAATTGTGTTATGAAACAGAAACACTTTTCTTCAAACATCAGTAACTTAATGACTTTAATGAAGCATAAACACTTTTGTTGTTGCAAAACCAACAGAACATGTTCCCAATTTCTTCTAAACGACTAGTGCTAAAAACAGGCACTAATGACCAAACATCAATGATAATCTAATCATACCTGCCTTCCAGAAGTGGTCTGATACTTTTATGCTGAATTTCAGTCATGTTTGTAAAACCCATTTCTTTTATTGCCTTCAGAGTGTTCTCATTAACAAGACTAGAAAGAGAAGCAAATGAAGTATCCTCAAAAGCTCCTAAATAAAAGAAGGTTTATCGTTAGCAAATTTATCTTCTAAGTTAATGCTGCTATAGTTATGTAAAATAGTTCTGCTGTTTGCAAACATCACTGGGTGGGAATCAAACTTAGAAAAACTTTTTCCAGTAAGAAGGACTAAAACCCGACCATTTCTATACAATATTAAGATAAAGATCCTTTTTTGAAGTTTCTCCACTGCTGACGGCCATGTAAAGTCTAGAACCTATCTTGTAACAAAATAGTAAAGGATGGAGAAGAGGTATAATCAAGGGGCTTGTATGAAATGAAAATACCAAGCATGGGGGTGGTTCAGAGAGATATTAAATATTTAGGAAATCTGGAATGCAAATGCAAAGCATCCAGTATAATAGAAACTGAGTATGAAGTCAACCACAAGTTAATCTCACTCCAAAAAAAAAAAAAACTAAGAAGGTCAGATATAGCCACACACCGTTAGACTGAACCCACATGTCAAATGTGCATGATTCTTGAGCAGGGGAAGATACCAAAATCATCTGGGGGAGCCCCCACCCCACACATGCCCTGCTGATCAGCCAGGTTATTGGCCACCTTGGCCTGAATAATTCTTTGTTGTGAGGCTGTCCATGTATTATCAGGTGTTCTGCAGCCTCCCTGACCTCTACCCACTAAATGACAGTGGCTGCCCTCAGTTCTAAGAACCAAACACGTTGAAAGTCACCCTTCAAGGCTTGTCTGGGACAGAGGAGGTTTATGGGATGCAGGACATCAGATGCAAAAACTAGTCAAGTTCTGGGTAAACTGGGAGGACATGGTCACCCCTCCTGGAAGTAAAATTGCCCTGGTTGAGAACTGTTGCCATAACCTTTGAATTTTGATTAAATAAGCCCGGGGTTATCAGGCCTCAGTATTTTAACAACAACAACAACAAAAAACCCAAACTGAAAAACCCAAGGAATTCTTATACATTTCTGGTTTGGATCAAGTGATTTTGCCCAAACTTTTGACCTTATAAAGAAACAGAGGCCAAAGAAAGTTACCCTGGCCAAAATCCCTTAATAATGTGAATTTCATCCTTCCTTACTAGTAACTGGGCCAGCATGACTTAAACCTCTTATCTCTAGACTTGTGGGCCAACGATCTTCCTACTACAAAATGGAATGATCTTTAGAAAACAATAAACCAAAGGACCAGAGGACCTGAGAAGCTGTTGGTGTGCCTATCAAAATATTTAGTGCTAGGAATGCATAAAAGGAAAAAAGAAATAACAAGAACTAAGGCACACTAAGTAGATAAAGCAGCAGCTAGATAAAAAAATTTGCATATAGTTGTTCTAGGTAAATTAAAAATCACAACTGAAACTTCAAATCCTATAATCCAGAAGGCATGACATGTTTAAGGTTTCTGTGGAAAACTTTCTCAAGTTACCTGTCAGTCCCAGGGGTAGGCTGGGCACTTCACTGTCCTCTTCCTCATCATCTGGCTTCTCCCCATTGTTTTCTGTCTCTTCAGGAGCCTGGGTCCCTTCTTCAGAGTCCCCTTTGTCTTCAGTTTTTGATTTTTTGGTATCTTTGGTTTTAAAGGACACCCCCCCCATTTTTTTGTTAAAATATAATACCAAATGGATCACAAAATAAAAAGATCTGTAATGCAAAGAGGCATGTTTTCAAAAGCTTAACACATTTCTGGTTTCAAGATGTAAAGAATGTCTTTTTCATGACTAAAGATTTAATTACATGTAATTAATGTACATGTAATCTACAGGGGGGACATGGAGATTCACCAACAAACTGTATTTTTTAGGCCTATTGTAGCATCTTAAGTGACCAAGACATTTTTGGAAAGTTGAAACAAGAGAGGGAGGGGCAAGATGGCGGAAGAGCAGGGTCCCCAAATCACCTGTCCCCACCAAGTTACCTAGATAACCTTCAAACCATCCTGAAAATCTACGAATTCAGCCTGAGATGTAAAGAGAGACCAGCTGGAATGCTACAGTGAGAAGAGTTCGCGCTTCTATCAAGGTAGGAAGACGGGGAAAAAGAAATAAAGGAACAAAAGGCCTCCGAGGGGGAGGGGCCCCGCGAGGAGCCGGGCTGAGGCCGGGGCGAGTGTCCCCAGGACAGGAGAGCCCCGTCCCGGAGGAGCAGGAGCTGCACCAACCTTCCCGGGCGGGCGGAAAGGGGCTCGCAGGGAGTTGGAGCAGGACCCAGGAGGGCGGGGATGCCCTCAGGCTCCCTGGGACACTAACAGACACCTGCGAGCGCAGGGGAGTGCTCCGAGCTCCCTAAGGCTGCAGCGCGCCACGGAGGGACCGACCGGAGCAGCTCGGAGGGGCTCGGGAGCGGCTCCAGGGAGGGAGCTGCAGGGCGGGAGCGCGAATCCCACAGCGCAGGCCGCGGAGCACAGGGCGCCGGGACACAGCCCAGGATCCGGCCTCCCCCTGGGACAGGCAAAGGCCGGGAGGGCCCAGGACAGCAAGGACGCTCCTGCCCCGAGCTGAGCACATCAGCGGCCCCGCCCCGGAGCCTCGGCATGCGACGAGAGCCGAGAGCCCCGAGCCCCGTAGTTCCTGCGGAGGCTGAATCCAGGCTTCCAGAGTTGCCATAGCAACTGCTGCTGTTCCTCCCTGGGTCCCACGGGGTAAACAACCCCCGCTGAGCCCTGCAGCAGGCAGGGGCAGAGCAGCTCCCCCAAGTGCTGACACCTGAAAATCAGCACAGCAGGCCCCTCCCCCAGAAGACCAGCTAGACGGACCAGTGATACTCCCCCGTGTTCCAATACAACTTGTTTTTGGCCACTCTGCACTGAGCAAAATGACTAGAAGGAAAACCTCACTTCAAAAGAAAGAATCAGAAACAGCCCTCTTTCCCACAGAGTTACAAAATCTGGATTACACTTCAATGTCAGAAAGCCAATTCAGAAGCACCATTATACAGCTACTGGTGGCTCTAGAAAAAAGCATTAAGGCCTCACGAGACTTCATGACTGCAGAATTTAGATCCAATCAGGCAGAAATTAAAAATCAATTGAATGAGATGCAATCCAAACTAGAAGTCCTAACGACGAGGGTTAACGTGGTGGAAGAACGAGTGAGTGACATAGAAGACAAGTTGATGGCAAAGAGGGAAACTGAGGAAAAAAGAGACAGACAATTAAGGGACCATGAAGACAGATTAAGGCAAATAAATGACAGTCTGAGGAAGAAAAACCTACGTTTAATTGGGGTTCCCGAGGGCGCCGAAAGGGACAGAGGGCCAGAATATGTATTTGAACAAATCCTAGCTGAAAACTTTCCCAATCTGGGAAGGGAAACAGGCATTCAGATCCAGGAAATAGAGAGATCCCCCCCTAAAATCAATAAAAACCGTTCAACACCTCGACATCTAATAGTGAAGCTTGCAAATTCCAAAGATAAAGAGAAGATCCTTAAAGCAGCAAGAGACAAGAAGTCCCTGACTTTCATGGGGAGGAATATTAGGGTAACAGCAGACCTCTCCACAGAGACCTGGCAGGCCAGAAAGGGCTGGCAGGATATATTCAGGGTCCTAAATGAGAAGAACATGCAACCAAGAATACTTTATCCAGCAAGGCTCTCATTCAAAATGGAAGGAGAGATAAAGAGCTTCCAAGACAGGCAGGAACTGAAAGAATATGTGACCTCCAAACCAGCTCTGCAAGAAATTTTAAGGGGGACTCTTAAAACTCCCCTTTAAGAAGAAGTTCAAGTAACTCTGAACGTGAATGGGCTTAATGACCCCATCAAAAGGCGCAGAGTTTCAGACTGGATAAAAAAACAGGACCCATCTATTTGCTGTCTACAAGAGACTCATTTTAGACAGAAGGACACCTACAACCTGAAAATAAAAGGTTGGAGAACCATTTACCATTCAAATGGTTCTCAAAATATACCCTAAAAACTACAGAACACTTCTGAAAGAAATTGAGGAAGACACAAAGAGATGGAAAAATATTCCATGCTCATGGATTGGCAGAATTAATATTGTGAAAATGTCAATGTTACCCAGGGCAATTTACACGTATAATGCAATCCCTATCAAAATACCATGGACTTTCTTCAGAGACTTAGAACAAATTATTTTAAGATTTGTGTGGAATCAGAAAAGACCCCAAACAGCCAGGGGAATTTTAAAAAAAGAAAACCATATCTGGGGGCATCACAATGCCAGATTTCAGGTTGTACTACAAAGCTGTGTTCATCAAGACAGTGTGGTACTGGCACAAAAACAGACATATAGATCAATGGAACAGAACAGAGAACCCAGAAGTGGACCCTGAACTTTATGCTCAACTAATATACGATAAAGGAGGAAAGACGATCCACTAGAAGAAAGACAGTCTCTTCAATAAATGGTGCTGGGAAAATTGGACATCCACATGCAGAAGAATGAAACTGGACCACTCTCTTGCACCATACACAAAGATAAACTCAAAATGGATGAAAGATCTAAATGTGAGACAAGATTCCATCAAAATCCCAGAGAAGAACTCAGGCAACACCCTTTTTGAACTTGGCCACAGTAACCGGAGAAGGACAAACAGTGTATGTTCTCATTCATTTGGGGAATATGAATAATAGCGAAAGGGAATATAAGGGAAGGGAGAAGAAATGTGTGAGAAATATCAGAAAGGGAGACAGAACATAAAGACTTCTAACTCTGGGAAATGAACTAGGGGTGGTGGAGGGGGAGGAGGGTGGGGGTGGGGGTGAATGGGTGACGGGCACTGAGGGGTACACTTGACGGGATGAGCACTGGGTGTTATTCTGTATGTTGGTAAATTGAACACCAATAAAAGTTAATTTATAAAATAAAAAAAAAAAAAAAAGAAAGTTGAAACAATTTAAATATACTAACTACATCAAATTCTATGTATTTCACAAAGGGAAAAAAAGGGCTATGATTAATGGTTTTTCAACTCTTAAAAAGCACTAATTTGTCCTACTATTCCATTAAATATAAATCTTTCATGAAAGCTAGCTGTGGTATAAAGATGAGCAGAAATCCCAAAGGCTCTTCACGTTACTAGAGAGACCTCAGTGCAAGTGCAACAATTCCCCTAGCTGGGTGACTGGCAGCTCCCGGAAACTAAGTGGGGAGAGGAGGCAGGGGGAAGGCCTCCTGACGTTTCACTTCTACACACAGCTTTCCTAACAGGGCCCTAAACTACTCTTCCAGCCTTACCTCCCATCAACTCTTAAATGTTCCACTCGGGATCAAATGCGTTAACTATCATGCAGGGCTTTTATAAATTCATGGTAGCTAGTTATACTAGTTAGAACAGAACTGACCTGGACCAGAACTCAGGACTCTGTGGCTCAGGACTGGCCTCTTCCTTGCATCTGACTATTCTCCTTCTGGGAAATGGTCAATCTACAGGCAGCATGAGGATGGCTAGGCATGTTTGGAAAAATCCAAAGCTCCTTTCTAAATGGAATCTTAATTTCAGTTAAGTTAGATGAATACGAAGTTCTAACCCAGGCATTGACAAACTTTTTCTATAAAAGTCCAGAGTAAACATTATATGTTTTGCAGGCCATATGGCTTGCCCTAATAAAGACCAAGTAAACAGATAGGCACTGTAGTGTTCTAATAAAGCTTTATTTCCAAAAGTAGGCAGCAGGCTGAATAGTTTGACACCTGTTATAGTCCACCTTGAAATCTCTGATTGTTCACATCTCAATTAAAAGGCCTATCCTTCATATAAGCTTATCCAAATCTAACTATCTTCCAAAAGAAGCTGGCCTCCTCCTATCCTGGCTATCCTACTCACTTAGAAATTAACATTCCATTTATACAGAAGTTACCTGCTCTTTTTAAATACACGTTGCAGTTGCATATCCAAATTATTACTAAGTCTCCTTTCAAGAGGAGAATTTATGGTAGGAAAAAAAAAAAACTGGGAGTAAAAAAGGGGGGGGGGTAAATAAAAATAATCATTAATGCAAAATCCTCTGAAATAAAGGCCCGAGAAGATAAAAAAGTATCAGCCCAGGTGTCTTTAGTGTAATGCCACATTTGTTTGAAAATAGGTAATAAACTTAAAATACTGTGCCATAATACGTTTAATGTTTTTAATGTTTAATGTGTTTAAAAACCTAGCCAATTGTCAAAAAGAGCAAATTTCTAGAATTCAAAGGAGGCTTTTATTGAAGCATGAGATTTCCTTCAGTCATTAGGAAATACAAAAGGACATATTTCTCAGTGTCTTATATAAATGTTACATCCCAGCCCTCACCCTACTTCTTTTTGCTACTAGGTTATTTTCTGGTATCCCAGTGAGTATAAGGATTCTTGCATGTTGTTATGAATAAATTATAACAGAAGGATGGTGACACTGTGAAAACTGTTTTAATGCCTGAAGTTCAAAGAAACTGAAGTACTTACCAGGCCCAGCATCATCCACCATTTTCCTCTTTTTCTTCTTCTTCTTTTTTGATTCTGAATTGGGAGGCTGTGTTGGTGCTTCTCCATTGACTATTATGGTAGATTTCTTTTTTTTCTTTCTAATTTGTACAGTTTCCGCTGTTTTTTTAGCTACCTCTCCATTCTGGGCTTCTGACGAGCCCATGTTCACAGACTGTTTTAGAGATTTTTTAACCTTCCCACCTCCCACTGTTTCTTCAGACACATCTCCATTTTGTGTTTCTGGTAAGCTCACATCCGAGGCCCCTGTTTAAAAACGGAAAACACATTGTGACAAAGGGAAGGTTTGCTTAAAACGCTGGAATCTCAGGTTAGAAACTTCATGGTGTCTGTGACTGAAATGATTTAGCTTTTAATTCCCTTCCATGTACATTATTAAAACCACTTAAGTTTATGGCATTCTTCTACAAAATTAAGTCAGTTTCCTTTAACGAAAAATGCTGGAAAAGGAAATGCTACATCGATTCAACTTCAAAAAACTGTGTCTCTGTCCTTCTGGAGTCAAGAATCTGAGACAGCTGGGCAGCCCGGGTGGCTCAGCGGTTTAGTGCCACCTGCAGCCCAGGGCGTGATCCTGGAGACCCTGGATCCGGTCCCACATCGGGCTCCCTGCATGGAGCCTGCTTCTCCCTCTGCCTGCGTCTCCGTCTCTCTCTCTCTCTCTCTATGAATAAATAAATAAAAAATCTTAAAAAAAAAAATCTGAGACAGCAATATTTCAGTGAAGTTAAACATCTGAATGGATGGGGCCAGACAAGGTAGCTACAAATAACACATGTTAATATCAGGTATTTGATAAATACATGGCTCACGGATAGATTAGAAAAGACTGTCATCTACTCACACAACTGCTGCTTCTCCTATAATTTCGAGACACTCAACCTTAACTTTCCTCTGCAGCAATGAATTGAAAATTCACTTATTGGTCCCCGTATTTACCTTATATATACACGCCTAAGGATGTCTTTTAAAAAGTTTCCGTTTATATAGGATAAAAAGTAACAACACTTCTTAAAATTTCAATTGTTAGCAGTGCTGCACTATGGATAGGCATCAGAAACACACACACCATTTCTAAAACCCACAACCTGTCCTCTTCAGGTTTCCTTTCAGGCAACTCATCTCTGCTGAAATCCAAGGAGGGTAAGGAATTATGCCTCCCAGCACTGCCCTCGGGGGCTGAGGTTACACGGGATCCAAAAGCGCTAACTTCAAGATCTCTGGCTCCCTGTTAGGAACGGAGGGCTGCAAACGAGGCAGGTAAGCAAGGTGACCGACAGGTAAGTAAGTCTTTATGACGGATGCAAACACCTGGAGGCGGCTGAGGAATTCATGACCCAGAGTTAGGTGCGATGGAATTGATTGAGGGCACGCGCTGGGCACGTGCAGGAGGCACTGGCAGAGCTGCAAACAGGATACACTCCCGGACTCGAGAGAGGGTGGACGACGGCAGGGGAAGCCAATCCCACCAAGACAGCCAAGGAGTTTCCTTTGAAGCAACGCAGACCTTAACCAGATGATGTGAAAGAAGGTGCGTGCAGATGAGCAAGTTCCACGTGTCTGATTGGAAATGGGCCTAGGGGGTGGGGCGGGGGGGGGGAGGGGAGACGAGGCGACGCGAGGAAGCCAGAAGGAGGCAGACGCAGGAAAAGCTGCTGGAGCTGGAAGCCCGGCTGGAGGCCTGGTTAGAAACCCCAGGCGTCCCGCTCCTGCTCCGACTCTGTACGGAGCATCTGAGGCTCGGGAGAGCGGGCCGACCCGGGCGCCCCCCGCGGCGAGCGGCCCCGCGCGGGACCTCAGGAGACGCGCCAGGCACACGCGGCCCGAGCAGAGCGGCCCAGGGGCGGGCTCCGCGCAGCCACCGGCCCCCCGGCCCCGTCCCCAGGCCCCCGGGGCCTCGCAGCTCGCTCACCCTGGAGCTTCAGGTTTCGCTGGCGCAACTTGAGATTCCGTTTCTCTATCTTCTTGCGCAGGAGTTTCATGGGTAGATGCGACATGGTGCCGGCAAGGCGCCCTCACTGCGGCGCCACCTCTCGGCTACCGGGTTGACGTCACTTCCGCTCGAGGCGCACGTGCGTCGGCAACCGGAAGTACGTCACGGGGACCCCCCCCAGGAGGTTGCCGCGAGACAAGGATGCGTCTGGGCGGAAATGCTTCCGGGGCCCCTGGCGCTCGCAGTCCTGAGAGCGCCCTCTGGAGGAGCGGAGGCCCGGCCGAGGTTGACGCTGTGTCCCGGGGGCTGCACCTGTAGGGCCCCTGCAGGTCCTGGGGCTGGGAGCTTCCCCGGAGGAGGCTGAAGAAACGAGGACGAGCAGGAGGCCTCCGGGAGTCTCCGGGCTTGTGTGCTTGCCCCCTTTGTATCCTGGACTGCTGCAAACTAGAAAACAATCTAAATGTCGGGGCAGCGGTGGAGCGCCGCCTGCAGCCCGGGCCGCGACCCCGGAGACCCGGGATCCAGTCCCACGTCGGGCTCCCCGCAGGGAGCCTGCTTCTCCCTCTGCCTGTGGCTCTGCCTCTCTCGGTGTGTCTCTCATGAATAAGTAAGTAAGTAAATAAATAAATATAAAAATAAATAAATAAAAATCTTTTAAAAACCCCTAAATTTCGTCTATTTGTTGCGAAAGCAGATTCTGAAGCTAAGTGATGCTAAGAGTCCTTTGAAATAGGGTTGGGAGGACATTGGGAAGCGGGGGCTCTGCACGCGGCCTGCTCCAATTCCTGGAACACCACCAGCTCTTGACCTAGTTGCAGCTGGTCAGTTGCCCCCCCCCCTTCCCCCCAGCACAGTCTTCCACTTTGGGCTGAAATCGAGCTAATGCAACCTCTGCTAGCTACACCGATAATGGGTCTGTTAGATGGCCAGTTTCGCTCTGCCAGGTAATGGCGATTCTTTGGAAACAAGTCGTGTGACCTTGTGGCTTTCGGGTTTATAAACGCGTGCTCCCTCCTGGCAGCTCAGAGTCCAGCACTTTTAACAAGTGGATTTCTAAGACCAGGTCTCACAGACGAATTGACATCATTAGATCAGATCTCAGAAAACATCTGCGAGAGTTTGGGGAGGTGGAAATCGATCACGTGCCTCTGACATGCCTCTTGTCTGGGACTCTAGGGCCTGTCTTAGCATCTACGCAGTGTATGTTGAACCCTTTGAAATCTCTTGCCTGGGATTCCCCATCCCAGAGGTCTCCTTTCCCAGAACATAGTCATTCATCAGTTGTTCACTCATTTAGCAATTCTTATGCTTGGAGAATGGGATAGGTGTGTGCTCGTTTCTGGGAATGGAACGGTGGGTAAGATGCACACAGTTCACCTTCGTGGAATTTGCAGAGTTGGCATGTGGAGAGGAGAGAAAATTAAGCTGTGGCAAACAGTGACGAGGGAAGCCCATGGCAGCTCGGCACTGTCGTGTGGGGATGGGGACAGGGACTCAGTCTTTCATTCCATACCCTCTGTGCATATCACTGTGCTAGCGGCAGGCAGAGCGGGGAATTGAAGATGCTGCCTTTACTTAAATATTGTTCGAATACTTAAATTTAATATGGATCACGCCTCACCCATCCTGTTCTTTCAGTTTTGTTTTGTCACTTGTGAGACCCCTTGGCCCTCTGATTTCAGGGCTGACCTCCTGAACCCAAGACCCTCCTAGAAGCTTGTGCTTGACTTTTTAGAAACTCACTAATGGGGATCCCTGGGTGGCGCAGCGGTTTGGCGCCTGCCTTTGGCCCAGGGCGCGATCCTGGAGACCCGGGATCGAGTCCCACGTCGGGCTCCCGGTGCATGGAGCCTGCTTCTCCCTCTGCCTGTGTCTCTGCCTCTCTCTCTCTCTCTCTCTCTCTCTCTGTGACTGTCATAAATAAATAAATAAAAGAAACTCACTAATGAACTGCTGACACTGAAAAAGGAACATCCGAGGATGAGGCCAGCACAGATGAATCAGAAGTTAATCTGAAGTGACCAACAGTTAATCTCAGCTTCAGTATGATGTGAAATTCCCCTCCGAACATCATCCCAAGCCCTAAAGAAAGGAGCATCCTTTCCCTTGCTCAGGGAGTCATGCTTTGGAAATTATGGGAGAAATAAAGTGACCTTCTGAGGCAATCACCTGGTGATTTCTGTCTATAGCTCACCAAGGAGCGGACCCACTTTGGTTCAGTAACAATTTCAGGTTTTAAGCCTTAGACAAGAGTTTATATAATAAACAGATTCATGTATGATTTTTTTTTCATTTAAGTAATTTTAAAAAGCCTCACTCCAGGGAACCTGGACGGCTCAGCCAGAATCTTGATTTCAGCTTAGGTCATGATCTTGGGGTTGTGGGATCAAGTCCCAGCTCAGGCTTTGCTATGGGTGTGGAGCCTGCTTGAGATTCTCTCTCCCTCTCCCTTTGCTCCCACTCGCTCTTTCTCTCTCTTCCTCCTTCTCTAAAACAACAACAAAAGACTTCACTGGGAAAAGAAAACAGTCTATTTCACAAACTCCTTAGAATTTGAAAAAGAAGTAACTGACTCACTCTCTCTAACCACTGCATGAAGACTCTTGAAGCGATTTTTCTGGGAACTGTCAAACGCTAGTTGCTACAAGCCAACCACTCCAGTGTATAGGAACTTAAAAAGTGCTATATTATATAAATAAGTGGGGTGTTGCTCCCCTCATGTGGCTTGACTCTGGTTCTCTAGATTTTACTAAGCAATGGCAGGTGCTTAAGAAATGTCTTCAATGAACTGATGGTTGTAAAAGGGAGGGATGATTTCAGGGATCACTGCCACAATTCTCTAAGGCATTAATGGTTCAGAGCTTCTAGAAGGTGGAGAGGGTACAGAAGTACATTATAGAAACCTTTCTCACAAGAAATATATTCATTTATGACTTAAAAAAAAAAACCCAATGCTGTGCCAGGTGCTACTTTGGGCTCCCAGGGTCAGCCAGTGAAAAAGACGGTCAAGCTTTTTGCTTTCAGGGAGCTTACTGCCTAGAGAGGGAGATTAATATGAATCAGATAAACAAGTGAGTCAACAAGGTAACTTAGACATGGGGCTAAAAGCTGGGAAGACATTAAAACAAGATGATGTAGTATAATAGAGAGAGATGGATAGGGGTCGGGCAGCATGCTGCTCAGTGTTAGAGGTATTTTTGTGGAAACAGCTTAGCAAAGACCTGGGGTCAGAGAAAAGACTGGAGAAGACAGCTTTACATGTTATTAAGTAACAATACAGGACCACAGAAAAAGTGTGGTGGGGTGGGAGTGGGGAGTCCTCTCTCTGCAGGGTCCTCCAGTCTGACCACTAGTGATTGAATCATAGACTGACCCTGGCTTCTCCGTATGTTGTGGAGATAAGGCTTCGGAATTGGGATTTTAAAAAAGATTTTATTTTATTTATTCATGAGAGACTCACAGGGAGAGGCAGAGACATAGGTAGAGGGAGAAGCAGGCTTTCCACAGGGAGCCTGATGTGGAACTCGATCCCAGGACTCCAGGATCCCAAGGCAGATACTCAACCACTGAGCCACCAGGTGCCCTGAGATCAGTTTTTAATACATTTTTATTTTATGTTATTGTAGATTTACAAAAACATTGCAAAAAAATACTATCCTCCACCCAGTTTGTCCTAATGTCAACAACTCAGATAGCGATGAGACCGTGGTCAAAATTAAGACGTTGACTCTGATAAATTACTATTAACACTAAACTAGTTTCTATGAACTAAACTTTATTCAGATAATACCAGTTTTTTCCACTAATGTCCTTTTTATGTTCTAGGATCCTAATTAAGATACTATATTGCACGCAGAGAATTTTCTGAAATAAAATTTTGACTGTTTCCTGAACAATCCATATGAAGGTTCTTCAAATGAAGAACAATCCATATGAAGAAGCTGGAAAGTCCACATTGTAGTTCTCAACATGTCATTTTTTTACTGTTTCATGATGATAAAATAATGTGCAGTTTAACATATCCCCTCTCTCCATGTTAATTTGCTCCATTTCCCAGAGTAGTGTTGGGATTCACATAACAGTCCCTTTGTCGTAATGTTAACAACCACCAAGTTAACTTATTTCTATAAACATTTTTGGAAAGTGATTACTTTTGGAGAGTAAATTTAGGAAAGCAGCTGCCACGCCCCCACCCTTCTATCTACCTATTTTACTACAGTGAAAACTGCAAAATATCTGACTCTTCACTGACTGATTTTTTTCACCGACTGATTTTATACAATTTATCAAATTATCTGCCCATATTCCACCTTTTGTCTTTTCTCAGCTAATCTTGCCTTCTTGAAAATAGGACCGTTATATCATTCACCTGGAATGAATTCATCTGGGACCACCCAGACAGAGAACTTTCCATTCATTCACTCATTCTTTTAAACAAATATCTGTTAATCAATGATGATCGGCCAGTAATTGGCTAGGAGCTAGCAATATAAAACCAAATTAGCCAAAGCTCCCACCCTTAAAATAGTCACACTTTTGGTGGAAGTTGAAGATTTCCAAGTTAGACTTCCAATGCCCAGCAGAGTACTTGGAGTTAGATAGGTCCCCATTAAATGTTTGACACCTGTTTGGAGAAGACCTGTGACAGAAATGGAGAGAATAGTGGTGAGATGATGAATCAGGTGGCCATTGTAATGGTTCGGTAGGGACATTATGAAGATCATGGGGTGAGAACAGAATACGTTTAGGTCCGTTTTCTGAGGGACGTCTGGGTGGCTCAGTGGTTGAGCGACTGCCTTCAGCTCAGTGCATGATCCTGGAGTTCTGGGATCGAGTCCTACATCAGGCTCCCTTTGCCTGATGAAGCCTGCTTCTCCCTTTGCCTAAGTCTTGGCCTCTCTCCTTCTGTGTCTCTCATGATTAAATAAATAAAATCTTAAAAAAAAGAGAGATGTTTTCTGAGAGAACTGACATAACCGGGTGGCCAAATTGGATGTGGGTGTGAAGAGAGAGGAAGGAACGGGGGATGCTTCTGAAATCTCCAGCTTGGGATGTGTCGTATAAAATACAAGAAGAAGAAAACCATTTTGGAGGATGGTGGTGGGGAGGATCAAGG